TTTTTTTTGATTTACGTGGGGTGTCCGGGCCAGCTTATGCGCACCACGACTAATCACCACGGCCCACTGAACACCCTGCAAACCCAGCAGGCAGGTAAGGCAGCGCGGGGCTGACAGGCATGCAACTCCAAGGCTCGAACCCGTGACAGCAGAAGGCGCAAAGCGCCATTCCACCGCTGGGCCGTTGCCTTCGGTGCTTCCAATACAAGGAGTGTTGTATATGTAGAGTGTTGTAGATTCCAATACAGGTTATATATGTAGAGTGTTGTAGATTCCAATACAAGGAGTGAGAATAAAGGGGCTCTATCTATTGAGAAACTTATTGCATGCAAGATTCCGTAACATATCCATAAATGAACTTGGATGTTCGAGATAATAGAAATTGAAGTTGCATTGATTGAGCTTTTACAGATCTCCTCAGGTACATAAGGAGGGAGCTGGAAGCAAATGCATGGGATAAAACAAATGAAATGGGGCATGCATCTATATATGCGTTGTACCCGTGATATCAGTACTCGGTGATATAAAGAAATAAGGTTGAGAGCTTCTCCCAGAATGCACAGGATATATATTGCTTGTAATCGATAGTGATGTTTTTTTTTTCACTCTTTGTCTCGTAAACTTCTGCCAGACCAAAATCGCCAAGTTTAAGGCTAAATTGTTCAGAATTATCCTGAATTTTGTATCAAATTGAACTTGGCCCTTAAATTGTTCAGAGCCACGAAAATGTTGTTTGTTCTTTATTTCCTTTGCACTTTTACTTCCGTATCTGGTTAATTATAATTTAAATACAACTGCATGCATCTATCACAATATATGGTTTAATTTGTCGTGGAGATTCAATAATTTACTGGAACGTTTTATTTTGATTTGTGCAAAAACTAACAGGAATAGAGAAAAAGAAGTACCTTTATTATATCCCAACACTCATTCACCATTCCAGTCTGTTTCTCAACAGTGTCTCTGGCGTGCCCTCTACTTTCTCCAAGCTCCTGAACAAATTTTCCGATCTGACATGTATCATCCAATAAAGGTTTCATCATTGACTTACAAAGATCTACTTGTCCTTTGTAGTAGTTGCACTCATCTTGAAGAGTTTTCAACTGCGCCTCATTGTTATCCTGCTTATTCTGCATTATAGATATAGATTAGCAAATGAAGGGTAAATTACTTATACAAGAGTGGGGGAGAAAGAAGAGAAAATGCACTGAACGAGTTTGGGATAGTAAATTTCTTTTCCAGCAGGTATAAGCCAATGATTGATTGAAAGACCAGGAGGCAAAGCACAAACTTGGAGAGGACATATATATATACAAGTATAAAAGCAAAGATGCACAGAAAGGAAACAAAAGGAGCGACGGTGCTAAACAGCAGGCACTACAAAACCAAGCAACCGCAAAACTGTAATAAGAACGACAGCATCATGATTAGATATCAGAAAACTTATATAAGTTGGTAAATTAAATTTTATTTTTGAAAAAGTGGAAGATCACGTTACAAAGAAAAAGGTAACAAGGAAAGAAAGGATAGAAAGTTTTTGAGGGATTCATTACATATCAATTCCTCAAGCTATACCTTTTTCTTTTCACGAGACTTCTTGTCGATTTCCTGTTTCCTTTTCCTTTTTGCATCTGCAGCTAGCATGAGAGAAATCAAAGATCGAAATCGGATCAAGAACAGTCCCATGAATCACTCTGATTAATTAATTACTCGACACAGAAGTTAAGCAACTTCTAAGTTTGGTGGAGAATAAGAAATGATGCGCATAGTCAAGTACAACGATGCATCCTTAATTTTTTAGTCGAAACTAAAACCTGCAAACGATGGACTTCTAAATTATACCTTCGAGTCGTTGATGATCAGATGGTTTCTTGGTTGGATTGGTTGCCATCTATAGAATGGGAAATCAAGTATCGGACGACAACTTGAACACTCCAAATTAATGGCGAACCAGTACTAAGAGAAAAGAAACAAGAAATACTTTGGATAGAGGGACTGATGAGAGAGTGAGAGAGAAAGAAAGAGGGAGATAAACATGTTATGGATAACAAAGATGAAAGCATAGAGGGAGACATCTTCAGATATCGTTCGAGATCGGACCCTAAGGCATCGAAATATCAAGACATGCCGCAGAAAGGAAGCTATTTTTTTCTTTTCTTTTTCTTTTTTTTTTAATCGATGAAAATCTTTAACATAATTTTTAAATCCGACTCAGTAATCATTAATCAATTCACAGGTTTTGGCGGTGACTATGGGACTGTTGGTGGTGTAGATTAATTATCTTTTTTTTTTCAAAATATTAATTAAAAAAACTATTTTAGTGGTGTCCAAAGTGTGTGTGTCTATATATATATATATATATATTAATATTTTTTTCATGGACAAACACTATTGTTGTTTGCATTTTTTATACCAAGTAAAAACCCAACACAAGTCACATTCATCATCATTGCACTCATTTATCTCTTATGGCGGTCCTGTTCTCATTTGGGAATCTCCCTAAAACTTTAATCAATTGATCCGTTTGTTCGATATATGAGAAGATTATAAAATAAAAATAAAGCCAAAAAAAAAAGACCTCTCACCACCATTAAACTACTGATCACAACACAACTCACCTAAAGTTTTTTTTTTTTTTTTTTTTTTTTTTAATTTAAGGAAATAGCTTTTTTTCTTTTGAAAGGCAAACGAAATACTAGGATAAATTAACTTCCTCATTTCACTGCTACCTAGCCAGTAACTTCCCTTTGAAAACCTTGAACAACAACATTTTTTTATTCAGTACCTCTAGGATAAACTTCCCATACCTTAATTATAATTACCAGATGGAGTGTTGTCCGGAACCTTGTCTATATATTTTCTTGCAGCTTGTCATCCTAATCGACGTGATTATTAATCCACGATCATATAAGCAACCTCATCGCCTAAAATTACAGGTCGCAAGCCTTGAAGCATAACTTGCTATCGTTCCCAAGCCTGGATCGTGCATTTTAAGCAGCAACAAATTATGCTTCTCCTCCAAAATCTGCAGGATCTTTCGCTTCTCTCTTGTTTTCCTGCCCTTACTGCGTACATGTAAATCAAGGGAAGGACAGAAATTAAGTTAAGACAAACAAATATTGAACATGTGAAAAGGTTGAACTTCGTGCAGCTCCTATATATTACCTTCTCATTCTCAAGGAGGTCACCTTCCTGCCTGCCAAAATTATCCACCACTAGCACCAGCAGCAGAGACCTGAGTATACGAGCTTGTGGTACAATAGAAGAGAAGTCAACAATGAACTGGTGGTGGATGCAAATTAATATCACGGGTTACATAAGGATAAATAAAACGTTGACGAAGACTTGCAGAACTAAAGGCGACGGGGTCACCATCTGAGAGCGGGCCATCATGATATAGTATTTGAAAATTGCAAATTGTTCGTGGACTTTCTTTGGTGGGAAATTACATATCAATCTTCGGGAACTTTGCTTATAGTTAACTCCAGAATTCAAAGTGTTCCTTGTGTGGTTAGATTATCAGAACAATCTTTTTTTCTTAAAAAAAAGAAAAGAAGAGGGACCCTGAATTTAAGAAAAATAAATAAATATGAAAAAAAAAAAAAAACACATCGGGAATGATTTAGAATTTCACTCGTGTTACTGGACCCAATTCAATGAAAACTGGAGGTAGTGCGAACCGAGCCCAAAGAGTTTTTAGCTATTGGTAACACAGGCAGGGCTATTGGTTCAAAAGCCCAAACCCTCAAGACATCCCGGTTCATTTGCGCGGCGCAAGAAAGATTCTCACCTCTCTCGACTGAGAATGGCGTCAAAATCCCCTCAATTCCTGCGTTCTTATGGTAACCCAAAAAAGATACACAGAGACGCTTCGTTTTTTGTATCGATGATTACCGATATTGAAATTATCACTGCTTCTTCTGCTGCTGTTGTTGTTGCAGGCTACGATCTACTCTTAGGATCAATAGCTGCTTTTTACGTCTTCGCTGTACCCTACACTAAAGTCGAGGAAAGCTTCAACATTCAGGTTCTCCAATTATTCCATAAAACAATCTTAGAACTTTTCAAATAAGCTTGTTTTTTATTTTGATTTTATGAATTTTTTTTATCGGTCAAGGCAATGCACGATATTCTTTACCACAGGCATCGCCTAGAAAATGTAAGTTTATTTACCTTCTCCTCTGTGTTCTAATTTGATTTTTTTCCTGTAATTTAATTATTAATACTCAGTTTGTTTGGTGTTGTTATTATTAGTATGATCATTTGGAGTTCCCGGGGGTCGTGCCTCGCACTTTCATTGGTAAATTAATTCTCTGCGTCATCTGGGAAAGCTTTTATATGCTATTCTAGACATTTATTTACTGTTTAGCTTTTCATGAAAACTGAAAATGAGGATTGCTAGGGTGTGATGTGAGTCATGTGACATGTGAAGGGAGTGATGAACTGTGCATCTTGCTCTGAGAAGGCATGTCACTCATCATTGTTTTCTCATAGGAGCGTTGATTGTCTCGATTTTGGCATCGCCAATTGTGGTGTTAATCAACTTGCTGCAGTTGTCCAAGATCTACGCTCTCATTTCAGGTAGAATATTTGGATGGTTTGTGGGGTTCTGTTTTATTTTAACAGCAATTTTGTCTAGGTTTTAACAATGGCTTACTTAATTTAGTTGCTTTTGGTTAGTGCGGTTGGTGTTGGGTTGTGTGGTATTATCTACACTGAGGTTTTTCCGGATTCAGGTATGTACTCGAATTTCTTTCAATCAAGGTTAATTAAGTTTGGTTGTCCAAGGGAATGATGAGTTGTGGTGGGAAGTTGAATACATGCAATTTTTCTTTTGAGCAGGTTAGACATAAGTTTGGTCATCAAGTAGAAGCTTTCTTTGTAATATTAACAGCACTTCAATTTCACATGCTGTTCTATTGCACACGTGCTCTTCCCAATATACTAGCTTTGGCTGTAGGTGATCACTTCTCGCGGTTTTATTTTGTCTCTGCTCCTTTTGCATATATGTCTTAGTGAATATATGAGGTTGTTTTCCATTTTGATTTCTCTTGATGGTTTCTGATATTTTGATCTGTTTTGGTATGGTAATATAAGTAAATTTTGTCAAGGAAGTACTTTATTGAGCTGGTTGCTTTTTTCCCATTATATCTATTAGTTTGTATATTTTAAATGAACACATGCATTTGGGAGAAGGAGATGAGTGAAATACCTGGTTCTGGTTAATATGTGACAAAATTTGAAAAAGCACCCAGCTAGTTTGAATTATAGCTCGTAAATTCTTATGTTGCAAGTGTTAAGCAGCTGAATCAACTAGGTGAGTTTTTGAGGGGATCCTTAACCATGTTATGCAAAACAACTGTCAACTAGCCAATCTTCAATTAAAGGGTCCGGGTGAAGATTGATTAGAATGTGCACGCCTCACTGAACAGGAAGTTTATGGATACCTGATATTTCAATGACATGTGTACGAATGCACCCCTTCAAATGCTATAATGTTTTTCAAGTGGTTGTGAGACCT